TTGTAATTATTGTGCACGTGTTTATTTAATAAATTAGTTTATATCAATAAATAAAAAAATTATTTTATGTTGCGTACACGTGCCTGATCCCCAATAGTTTGTTCGTTTTTGTATGTGTTCACGCATGAGCATATTCATGTTCCATATAATTTGTGCTCTTGTCTATTAATAGGGAATGTGAAATATATACATGTGCGAAATTACTAACTTTTGCTATTAAAAATAAGGTCATTTGAAATAATATAATCAATATCACGATATTTATCGCGATACAGTACGATAGATTATTAAAAATGATATAAAGTGGCATATGTATTGTTATCCTTAAATATCGGTAAATTTCGCTCGATATCATCACCATACGTACGATAGTAATCCGATAGATAAGTTAATTGCGATATTTGTCTCTGCGGTGATTTGTGCAAATTTTGCACATTAGGGGTGTATAATGCGATTATCAACATATTTTGAGGCAATTTTGTGCAATTTTTTGCATTTTGGGTCTCGTATTGTGCGTTTTTCAAGATTTCGGAGTGATTTTGCGATTTCAGCACATTTTATACAACTATTGTGATTTAGTTTTTTTTTTTTTTTTTCAATTTTTAACATCGCGTTGGAATAAAGAATAAACCCCAAGTCTATAACTTCAAGAACATACTCATGAACTTGTTATGATGACCTAAAATTGTTCTTCTTCCCCTCTTGTGAGTTTACTTACACTAACATCAAATGGAACAGTTGCAGACAAATTTCTTATTAGTTTTGTAATTATTTTGAAACAAAATCAACGATACATGCATATTTAGCTTATTGGTTCCATAATTTCTTAAGATTTGAACTCGCGAACACGACTAGATCTTCATTCGTTAAAATAAACAATAATTATATGATAATACTACTTGAACTCGGTAGACTTTAACTCGAGAGACTAAGTCCATATTAACTTAATTGACATATTTTCGTACAAGACTAACCCATATGCAATCAAATACATTTTTAATCAAACTCAGAGTGAAGCAAACAATCACGCCACTAGAAAATTTGGTTTCAACTATTATATATATCGTCAATTAATTTATTACGATATACATTACTTATTAAGATTCTCCACGAAACAAGATCTCTTATAATTATTTTTTACTAAAACAAGATGATTCCTACAAAAAAGAAAAGTTTGATAAGATTTCTAAAAATTAAAATTTAATCATGAGATCTACAGTCAAAAGTTGGAAATGTGTTCGATTATGTACGAGGTTTTTATGTACCTTCTTCATTGCATGGTTGATTGGAAGTCCATGGAAAAGTAAAATTTTGAATATTCTTCATTAATTTGTTTATTAAAATGAAGAAACAGAAATGAGTGATACCATGGATTCAACTGAGGTAAGACAAATGGTAGATTGTCTGAAACGAAATATTTAGATATGATTGTAGGAGAGTGGGTTTGCAATTAGAGACGTAAAGGTTCATAGGGGTTTGTGAAATGGGGATGAAAATATAAGTTCTTATATAGGAAAAAGTCATCGGTCGAACTGAAAATGGTTAAGCCTTTATTTGTTCAAAACAAAATAAATGAGTCTAAACATGAAGAAGAAAAGTCAGAGATGTCGTATAAAGATGTCGCAGCACTCGGAACAACACTCAGACTCTGGCAAGCTCTCTGCTCTTTCCTCTTCAAATACATTCTCAACGCAAAAGATTGCAGGACCGTTTGTACCTTTCTGGAGAAAAACTTATGAATCAATTAACCACATGCAAACAAACGAATAAACTATAAACTCCCCTTAATTACAACTACTCCCCCTAAACCATTTCCCCATTTTTGTCCAAAAATGAGAGAAGAATCAGACAAACTAAAAGGAGATGGATAATTGAACTTTTCATAAACCTTGAAACAAAATCCCACTTACACTCCACAAATATAAAAATCATTGGTACTCAACACCAGGGGCGGACCCAGGGGTTACTGGGTGGGGGGGCTAAAAAAAAATTTTTGGACTAAAATGATATTAAATTTGAAGTTTGGGGGGGCTAAATGATATAAATCAATAGATAAATAACATAAAATATTAAAAATCTAATAAAAAATAGGTAAAAAAATTTTTCCTGCAGGGGCGGAGGCCCCCCCAAGGTATACCTTGGGTCCGCCCCTGCTCAACACTGTGAAAATAGATATTGATCGCATTTTCCATATTGAAACTGAAAAGCAAGGGTATAACAATATTCACCAAAATAAGAAATGCAAGGATTTGAAACTGTATATGCAAGCATAAATGAAAAGATAGACCTTACATTTTAGGCTGATTTTGTGCTACATTCAGCATAGTTGAGGCGATTTTGTGCGATTTTAAGGACACTTGGAGTGATTTGTGTGATTTCAACACATTTTATATAAAGATGTGATTTTTTTTTTTCTAATTAAGGCAGCCAAAAAAATTGCTTTAGATAAATTATATTATTCTTCCTATCAAAATTCAAAACCAACAAATTTGTTCATCATCACATAATTCAAAAGCAATTTATATCAACAAAGGTAATGAAACTAACACACTGATGAAATTTAATAATTTAATGTTGAAACTTTGAATTTGCATTTATTTAAATGAGGGTTTGACTTGAGAATATTAATTTTATATATTTATTGTATGTTTATCATGTAGATATATATTTTGTACGATTTTTAATAGGTAGTCAACTTTTTTTGATAACATTGCGGTGGGATAAACTCAAATTCCAAAACTGCTAGAACATGGAACGGAGATTGTTCTGAAGACAACAGACATATTCTTGTGAGTATACACTAACATCATATATAATGCTTGTAATAAATGTCTTGTTAGTGTTGTATTCAATTTGAAACAAAACAGATAATACATGTATGTTTAGCTTATTGTTTTCATTATCTGTTAAGATTTGGGTGAAAGTGTAGATGTCTTTGCACCTACTTGAATTGAAGTGAATCGTATAGAAGCACAAGTAATTATTTGAATTAACCATGTGTTCATTCTAAGAATAAAATGCATGCCATCCCAAAATTTGACTTTTGAGCACACAAACTAGCAAATCCGACAAAATATTATTCCTTAATTTTGGTTTTTTTTCACTAAAAGCACATAATAATAATAAATAATCATCAAAAATCTAAATAGAGGCAAATGAAACGCCTACAGCCCCCAGTAAAACATACATAGACTTACCAAACTCTGTTTAATTTGCCCCCTTCTCAACCAAAACCCTAAACAAAAAGCCAACATACACAATTAGAACAAGAAAGCCTACATAATGCTGCAACTATCAGTATTCTCATCACTGAACATATGAGAATATTGATCATTCGCCATAGGTGGTGGCTGCCCATAATTCATCGCAGGTTGTGGCTGCTGCTGCCCATAATAACCCATGGCATGCGGAGGCGGCTGCCCATAACTCATGCCGGCAGGCGGCGGCCTAGCGGCGGCTGCGTAGCCTAAAGGATGGTAGGCCTCTGGCCTATTTGCATTCTGTTGATTCATCATCATCATCATCATAGCCATTTGTTGTTGGTTGTAAGGGTTACCCTGTCCACCACCGCCGCCACCTCCTTGTAAATGGCCACCATTCATTGTTTTCGGCAACCCCTGAAAATCCCCCATTCCACCACCACCACCGCCGCCTCCTCGATGATTCAAGTTCATCTCATTGAACCCCTGCTTCTTATTATTACTCTCCTTATTCTTGTGCCCACCATTATCAAATTTCTCTCCGGCTTTCTTACTCCAACTCTCTTTACTTTTTCCACCATTATGCTTGCCTTGTTCGTGCACAGAGACGTCCTTTTTATCCTTCTTTTTATCATTTCCTTCCTTATGGTGACCATCCCCTTCTTTGCCGTTTTTCCCGGAAGCCTTTCCAAGCATGCCTTTAAGAAACATATTGATCCCACCACCACTTTTTTTCTTCACATCCCCACCATTCTTATCTTTATCACCATTCTTTCCCTTCTTCACTTTCGGCGGGGTTGGCTTATTCGATTTGGGGTGGTGGTGACCAGCAAGATGTGCTCCTTTGCCGGCAGGCGGATGATGTGCATAACCACCATCATCAGATCCATCATCGAAATCGCCATCTTCTTCATCATCATCAAAATCATCAGAATAATCATCTTCGTCGTCGTCATACTCTTCTTCAGGTAACTTGAACCTAACTGAGTTTTGGTTCTTCCCCACAATTTTAACATCTTTGGATCCATTTTTATTATTCAGATGCTGCTGAGGAAGTTGATGAACTCCTCCTCCTCCACCCTTGTTCTTCTGTTCCTTGAAACCCTTATCATTTTTGCCAATTTGGAAGTTGTTGTTGTTGTTGTTGTTGTTCAAGTGGTTGAAGGAAATTGGACCCTTCTGTGGTGGTCCCCACATCTCAGCATGTTTCCCTGATTTCTCGAGCTTGTTGATTAGGGTTGCTGGATCTACATTTCCAGACACACTCACTTTCCCTTGCTCCGCATCTATGTTTACCTTATACACCCCTGTTTTTTTTTTTTTTTTGTACAAGAGTAGTTCAGTAAGATAATAATATAAAAAATTAAAAAAATAAAAATTTGAAAAAGAGGAGATAACCTACCCTCAACCTTCTTGAGGGTCTTTTTGACCTTGTGCTTACAGCCTTCACAGTGTATATTCACCCTTAGTATACATGTCGGCACTTGCTGTTGCTAAAATTAACAAACTCCAGTTAATTGGAGAGAAATTGAAGAAAAAAAAACATTTAACATATTCACTATTGAAAAAAAAAAATAAAAAAAAAAAAAAAAACATAGCACCTAAAACAAATAGAGTTAAGAAGTACCTGGATCTTGGAATCTTGCTTGGGCATCCTGTTAGATTCAAACCAAGAACAATGGTTGCATATATTTTTACTAGAAACAGAGATTTATTTATTTTCTGAAAAAGAGATATTTTCTGCCTAGATGGAAAAATAGTTTCTTTCTTGAATAATAAGAAAAGGATACAAAGCTGCAATGGTTATCTATTTATTTAGTTTTTAGCTTGTAACTTTAAGAGAGAGAGAGAGAAGGCAAGGAAGGCGGTTCCTTAAATTTAAAAAAAGAAAACACATTATTCTGCGGTCCAAGTAGCAGCAGCTGCAGCTGCACTGCAGCAGAGCAGGGTTTTCTTTTTGACACTTTTATCCTTCGTATTTGTCACTATTACTTGATTAATTTTATGATTTAAGTTATTATATTATTATTTAATTTTGTCTTGTTGTAATTATCTTCCCCCTTGCCTCGATTAGAACATGATTAATCACTGTCACTTTAATAAAGTAATAGATAGCAATTGGACAGTGCATGAAATAAATATAATATTAAATATAAAAAGAAGAGAGAGAGAGAAATAATTGAAGTAGGGTATGGGGTGGTATCCCAATAAATTAAAGAAAGAAAAAGACAGTGTCGGCTTAATATGGGTATGTGAATGTGGGACTGACTATCAAATATCAATTGGTGTTACAGAATAGATTTGACCGCGTACACACACACGAGATTTGACCTATAATAAAATATCTCGTGCTGCATTTTTATTATCTGTTATTAAATGTAATGTAAGGAGGATACCTTCTTCTCTCTCTCTCCTCTCTTTTCTTTGTTGTTTCTTTTATTTGTAAGAACAGATAAACATCAGTGTTTGTGTTTCCTTGTTGCAGAACACATGTGCAGTTGTGACTTGTGAGCTTTTGTCAGCTCAAAATTAACAATAAGACCTCATTCTCTCCATTCCTATCAACCACTACTACTCCCGACTATTTTTTGAATTCTTATATTTTGCTAACTAAATTACCAAAATGGGTATAATTCCAAAGCAACTACACTTTTGCCATAAGATGGATCGTGTTTTCAAATGCTTCTACTATAAGTCTACAACTTATCTAAAGAAAAAGAAAATCAAATGCTTCTACTATGAATTAGTAGGGCTCGCAATCGGGTCGTGTGAGTTGAGTCTGTGTCGGCTCAAGCTCATATATCATCAGGCCTCATTATTATAGGCTCAAGCTCAAATACCATCGGGTCTCATGCTTGTAGGCTCAAACTCGTTTCACGTATTTTTTCGGATTTCGGGTTTATATCGGGCTTATATCGGGCGATAAATAAATTACAAATGTTACAAATTTGCAGTCGAACATATTAAAGAAAAACGAAAAAGACTTTGCATTCTGAGAGAAAAATCTAGACTATTCATTGAAAATGAAAATAAGAAGGGAAAAAAAAAACATAGTCTGTTCATAACAAATAAAGCTTCATGTTGTAAATATGTAAGGCTTAATTAATTATATGAAAAAAATGCATGACTCCAAAATGTAAGAAAATATAAAATAAAATAACTAGAAACAACTCTAAATATCCTCCTAACTCTTTTTGAAAATTTTGAGACTCGAAAAAAAATGACAATATATATATATATATATATATATATATATATATATATATATATATATATATATATATATATATATATATATATATATATATATATATATATATATATATATATATATATATATATATATATATATATATATATATATATATATATATATATATATATATATATATATATATATATATATATATATATATATATATATATATATATATATATATATATATATATATATATATATATATATATATATATATATCTCTCTCTCTCTCTCTCTCTCTCTCTCTCTCTCTCTCTCTCTCTCTCTCTCTCTCTCTCTCTCTCTCTATCTCTCTATATATATATATATCTCTATAGGGGTATATAGATATATATATATATATATATATATATATATATATATATATATATATATATATATATATATATATATATATATATATATATATATATGTATATATATATATATATATATATATATATATATATATATATATATATATATATATATATATATATATATATATATATATATATATATATATATATATAATAGGAAAATTTTGGAAAGTGAGGGGGGCTTGAGTCCACCCTAGCCCTTGGGTGGACTCGCCCCTGCCTGCACCTGCTCATGGTTGACTTTCTGGCATATTTACTATCTTTGTATATTTGTTATTTCATATTTTCTATTCTTCTTCTCTAGAATATTCTAGTTGAATTCAACTTTCTTTTCCAATATATTGAAATGAAGGAGT